AAAAGAAAAGAAAAAAAAAGCAAAAAATTAAAAAACTTAAAAAAAGAAAAATAAGAAAAATAAGAAAAAGAAAGAAAAGAGAAAGAAAAGAAAGATTAAAAAAACAAAAAAAAAATGGGGATGTGCCATGTGGCAAGAAGAAAAACATGTTTGCCGGTGATAAGCAACCGGACTGACGGCCCCCAGAATAGAAGGGGCATTGATGATTGGGGTAAAAAAAAAAAAGAAAAAAAAAGGGGGGGATGTGGCAAGTTTGCGAGGGATCTATCTGTCTTTAAAGGACCGCACACGGCGCACAGCCAGCTGGCTGTCTTTAAAGGACCGCACACGGTGATCAGCTTCTGATTTCTTGGACCGTTTAAAGACAGCCAGCTTCTGATTTCTTGGACCGTTTAAAGACAGCCAGCTTCTGATTTCTTGGACCGTTTAAAGACAGCCAGCTTCTGATTTCTTGGACCGTTTACCCCTTCAGTAGAACGCTGTGGTAGACCTGTCATGGGGCCACGCTCCACTACTCACCAGATGTGCAAAATGAGAATGAATCTTCCGCTAGAACATGGAAAGATACACTGCCATATTTTTTGTCTTTTGTGAACATGGAAAGATACACTGCCATATTTTTTGTCTTTTGTGCATGTGGTGAGTAGTTGAGTGGGGCCCATGGTTTGGGATGGAGTGAGAGGGGACGTAGGGGTAAGCCGGGCCCGTCTGCTGGTGAGGCTGGCTGCTGATCAGTCGAACAGGGTGCAGGATACCCTCCTCACCCGAATAGAACGCCCTCGTCATTGTCGCTGCATCTGGGCCGAAAGTTGGCCCAAATACAGCTATAGTGACCGGGCATTCTGTTTAACAGGGTGAAGGCTACCGTCTTCATTGAAATAGGGCGCCCCTGTCATTGCCGCTGCATCTAGGCTGAAAGTTGCCCCAAATACAGCTATAATGACCAGGTTCTGTTCAGCAGGGTGAAGGCTACCCGTCTTCATCCGAATAGAACGCCCCGGTCATTATCGCTGCATCTAGGCTGAAAGTTGTGCCAAGTACAGCTACAATGACCGAGCTTTCTGTTTAGCAGGGAGCAGGCTATGGTCTTCATCCGAATAGAACGGCCCGGTCATTTACCACTGCATCTAGGATGAAAGTCGCCCCCAAAAATACATCTATAATGACCGGGCGCTCTGTTTGGGTGAAGACGGTAGTGAGACATCATGAGTATGGGGGGCTGAACTTTAGCCCAAGAGCCCCCCCGACTCTGTTCTCAACCTTCACTGTGAAAAGCAGGCAGTTAATCCCTTCCTCCTCCCCCTCTGGGGCCTAATAGGCCAGGGCAATCAATGGTGTATACCCCCATCGAAGTATATGCATCGTATATTTTCAAAGAAGCAAAGGGATGCTGGGCCCGGTTGCCAGCATGGGATGCTTCTTTCCATGAATAGACTGGAGTCACTGGACCCATCAAACTGGTGGTGGTCCCCTTACCTGGCTAGCGTTGGGATCCCTGTTGGTGAGACAGATGGCTGCTTCATGATGTTTTTTTTTTTTTTTTTTTTTTTTCCTCCAAGTTTTTTGAGTACTCGGCAACGACAGATTGATTTGAATACAGGCTATATGGAAGATAGGGCCTACCGTTTTCACCCAAATAGAACGCCTGGTAATTATTGCCGTATCTGGACTGAAAGTTGCCCCAGGTACAGCTACCCACTAGCGACCGTGTGTTTATCGGAAGCGAAAAAAGAAAAGAGGAAGTGGAAGGGGCGACGAGAATTGAACCTCCCAGAAGCATCAGAAAGGCATATGGGACTGGAATCGCCAGGCCTGGTCGATACCACAAATAACTCTCTTACCAAACAATCTTAAACCATATCTCACACAGTACATTGCAATGTGGGACAAGCAACACATCAACTACACTTCACAAAGCACAATCAAACAGATTACAGCACAATCAAACAGATTACAGCACAATCAAACAGATTACAATGGGGAACAGCTTCAGCATAATGCAACAAGCAGATGGATTGTAATCGACAGCCAACAGGTCACACTAACAACACTAGAATTGAAATCTCTTCGACAACAGGTCACACTTACAACACTAGAATTGAAATCTCTTCGACAACAGGTCACACTAACAACACTAGAATTGAAATCTCTTCGACTGCCCCAGCAAAAACAGGATTGACAGAAGGCTGGGCCGCTCATTGCCCAGCCCCCTCATGGATACTGACATCTCATGTTCGCATACACTGTACTCCACAGGGACGCTGGACCCGATTTCCAGCAGGTGCCGCTCCCCACCAATCGATGGAGCCTCCCCGACAGTGCTAGTGGTGCCTGCTCTTATCAGCACCCCTAGCAGCCGCTCGGGCAGTTTCTTCTTCTTCGAAAAAAAAAGAAAAGAAAAGGGATCCAGCTAAGCAGTCCACTCATAGGAAAGTATACGAGGTCCTTGTGGGCCAAGTGACCCTTTCGGAGCACGTAAAGGGGTCTGTTGTCGGTATTGAGGCAGAGCAGACATCGTACGACGGTAGGTTGAAGCTTGAATGGGATAGCTGCTGACCTGTTTTTCGGCGTGTTTCTTCAGGGAGATGATTGGGAAGCTAGACGGTCAAGACTTGCGAAAGTATACGATGTCTCCGTGTGGGCCAGGTTACCCTTTCTGAGCACAGACAGGACAGGCGGGCCTGCTCTACAGTCTTCCCCTGAATACAATGTACGGTCATTATAGCTGAATTTAGACTGAAAGATACCCCAAATTCATCATAGCTCTGATGACTGTACGTTGTATTCGGGTGAAGACTGTAGGTGTTGACGAAGAGCAGGCATCCTACAGCCGTAGGCCGAGAGGGGCAGTTGTCGACTCATTGTTTTTTCTGTGCATTTCTTCAGGAAGGTAGTTGGGAAAAGCAGGGGAGGGTTTTTCTCTCTCTCTTTTTTTACGGGTGGGGTGGGAAGGGAGGGGGAGGCGGAGGAGGAAGGTGGGGGGCATTCCGAAGGTGTATTTTGCAAAATCAGTATGGGGGTACTATGGGGCTTATGGCCTTCTTTACTGACAGACGATCCTTCGGACAGGACGTAATCAATGAACACGGGTGAACAAGTTATCCTGAACAGGAAAGATGGTGCAGATGGTTGTTGGTATATGCATTGCCCTTCTCGGGCACACGGGTGAACAAGTTATCCTGAACAGGAAAGATGGTGCAGATGGTTGTTGGTTTGCTTCGAGTAAACAAAGGAGAAAAATTCCAAAAATGGGGAAAATTATTGCAATGAACCTCGCAATTTCAAACCAATTCGCACATTGCAAGGTGAGAGTATTCACACGAAAGTTCACACCACCCCGGAGATATGACACATGAATCAGCGCCAGATAGGTCTCCACTCGAAGTTTTGATGATATACAAATTGGAGGGTTCAAACTTCAAATGTCCTGCGGCAACTGCCGCGACTCAACAGCGCAATCCCATGCAGGTATGTAACCGACTCCCCTCTCTCTCTCCTCTGGCCTCTCTCTCTCTCTCTCTCCTCCTCTCGCCTAGAATCTACCCTGAATACAGCTGCTGCGGTGTAACCTTCACTCTGGGCGGCTATGGCCGCTGTGTTCCTCTTCCCTACTACTCTAGCTATGGCTGACTCTCGTAGCCAGGCCGCTTGCTCCTCCCCCGGCGCTTCGCCCTTCGTCCAGGTCGCCCTATCGCACAAGCAACGAGCAGCGCTTCCACAACTTTGCAAAGGAACATCTGCCTTGGCTTGGCACTGTAGCAGCTAAATATAGTTTCAGTTGACTGTTCGTGCCTGCTTCGGACCGATACCGGTCGCCCACGGCCTCTGCCTTACCAAAGTCTGGTGTTTCCGGAAGTCCCCGGACTTTTCTTGAGTCCCTCTCTCATCTCCTTTTCTTGTCTTGCACTTGTCTTCATTTATGTGTGTGATCAGACCCGTTTTGTGTAATGATAATACAGTTTCTCCACGGCAAGCGCCATAACAGGCTCCACAGCAAGTCCCATAGCAAGTTCCATAGCAAGTTCCATAGCAAATCCCATAGCAAGTTCCACAGCAAAGTTTTCATAGCAAGTTCCATAGCAAGTTCCATAGCAAATCCCATAGCAAGTTCCATAGCAAGTCCCATAGCAAGTTCCATAGCAAGTTCCATAGCAAAGTTTTCATAGCAACTTCCATAGCAACTTCCATAACAAGGGCCTATGATAACAGAAAAATTCCAAGAGTCCTTCGGGACATCCGTTAAAATTGGAACGATACAGAGAAGATTAGCATGGCCCCTGCACAACGATGACACGCATAAATCGAAAAATTCCAAGAAGAAAAAAACTTCTTAGATACGGCCCATTCGAAAATCTCTTGGATTTACCACGCCCAAAGTTTTCTGGTAGGGGTACAAACGGTGCACGGGCATTTCAGGCCGTCCGATATTAACATCTGGTGGTGGTCACTCAGCCTGGCCCGCTCAGCCTCTTCCCACCAGCTTACGAACCTGGCAGTGTATTTGTGGCAGATTCATTCTCCCGCAGGCCCTTCGTACCCAATCGGAAGATTTCAGGCATGATAAACCCATTAGGTTTTCCGGTGGGCTGTATCTACCTGTTATGATGTTATCCCTATCCCTGAACTAGCAGCAACATGCCAACCGGTCTGGCTGCAGGTGCAGCTAGATCTTCCTTACAGAGATGCAAGGCATACCAGATACAATTAGCACCAAGGGTCAGGCTCCACCGGTGCACTATGTTTGTGCTCAGAAAACATGAACCTGGTCGTCGAAAGGTCCTGGTTCAAGTTCGCTTAACTTTATTGAACATGAACCTGGTCGTCAAAAGGCCCTGACTTGCAAGTGGCAATAATGCTAAACAAAGTCCCAGTCCGACACTTCTCTGGATTCAGTTCACGCACCTGAACGAGAAGTAATATGCCAAGAAGTCCAACAGGAGCCGCAGCCAATTCTGCCTTCAATGATGCAAGAACCCCAGCAACACCTGTTTTATCAAAAGAGCCAATGCATCCAAAACATTGTAGTGAGCCTAAACTCAGGAAGGTCACGCCAGCAACATCATGCACGGAACTCAAAATGTTCAATGAACGACAATCGAAACAAGGTAGCGAAGTATTCCAGCGTGAAGACAAAGGAAGAAGAAGAGTAAGAGGAGGAGGATAAACTCAAAATAATTGACATTTGATACAAGGTCTTTTCTCACCTTCCTCCTTGTACCTCCAGTTACTTGTCTCTCTTCAAGCCACCTCAACAGCAATCATCCTGGCTTGCTAAGTTGCTACCAAAATTGAAGTCTCTCTCTCTCTCTCTCTCTCTCT